TAGGTCACTTTGATAAAGTAAACAAGATGAGAAAACAGTAATATATTTTTTGATAACTTTATAATAGCTTTTGAAGATATAACCCTCAGAAATAAGGAACATAAATATAAGTTCTTTCATATCGTTTTCTGTCGTTTTGGTGTTCAATTTATTGTATTTTTATAATGTTTTATTTTCATCCACTGGCATAATTTCGATTATATCGTTGACAGAAAGAACTGGGAAGATACTCTACCTAATGGGCGAATTCGTGACAAGACTGGTCTGATTTCCCCTTACGTCTCAAGTGCTGTACGGTGGAGACACCAATCGTTCTGCGGCCAGCGCACAAAATACTATTTTCCCTAATTCGGCCAGTGAAGGCATATCGAAGATGGTGTGGAACTGAAAATCCGCATTTATGTATTGAAAATTTATTCGTGTCAAACATAGAATAAACAACAAAAATAAAAAATTTTTTATAGGTACTGAATATGTCGTATGATCGAAAAAAGTCGTTTAGTTGGCTTGGAAATTACGATCATTGACATTTATCATAATATTTTACATATTATGATATAACAGCAATATTAATTTTCAAGCCAACTCTGACGCTGTTGTTTGTTTAATCACATAGTATTATATTAAATTGTTTAATAATAAAAATCCGTATTATAAACGTACTGTACCTAAAATCCGTAAATCTATGGATTAACCAGTAGTTTTGGCAACACTGTCTCCGGCAATCACTCACTCTGTCGACTGAAAGCAGTACTACGGTACAGTATTCTTTATCCGCTGCGCTGTAAACGACGATCAGCGCGCACTGGCGCAGAGCTAAACTAAATCTTGGAATTCTAGGACAGGCTGACGGTAATCCCAGCCAAATCTTAGACAAGTTTTGTGCCACAAAATCGCCCATAAGGCTGCGCATCTTATTTCTTAATAAATATATTCCCAATCGAATTACTTAATCTGTGGCACAACTTTTTTGTAGCGATCAATAATAGCGATTCATCATACGCATGCGCTTTGTTGTTTTATTTAGCTTCTCCGTTTTACTGATAAATCTGTGTTAAGCTTGACTTTCATGCATCCCTTGTCCGACGATACGATGATACGATATTAATCTTATTGGTTTAATTTAAAGCCTTCGATTAATAACCGTTTCTAACTAATCGAATTCAACCAATAAAATTAATATCGTATCGTCGGATAACGGATGCATGAAAATCAAGCTTTAATCTGTGACTGCACTGTGACCATTCAGAAGTAAATAGTCAATTATATAAAGATAAATTTTAGCCTACTAAACTGCCGTTAATAGATATTGTGACGTCGCTCATGTCGGCGGAAAGTAATGCCTAGCCTTAAGCATTTTGCAAGAGCACTTGTGGGTCAGTGGCTGAGGCTATCGCTTCGTAAGCGAATGATCCGTGGTTCAAATCTCACGCCGACCAAGACTTTTTATATTTTTTTTGCTTATAGCGTGATCTTATTGCATTGGTTTCACTCTTTTCGGTTGGATTGGTTTAGTTATTTGGCGGGTTGGTTAGCGTGGTTATTTGGAGGGTATTAATTCATTGGTTAGTTGGTTATTTGGTGGGGTTGGTTGATTTTTACTAATTTATATTTGTTTTTTTATCAGTATCGAGGTTAGTTGCGAGGTTGTTAAGTTGGTTATTTGGTGGGGTGGATTGCGTTGGTTATTCCTTATAAAATTCCTATATTTCGTAAAAACGTCAAGTGCGTCACATCAACGACGTCATACCTATTAACGGCGTTTTAGTAAGCTACCGTTTAACGGCAGTTTAAGTACAGCCTAAAATAAATACATAAACTCAAGTAACATATTCAATTAGTGAAGGAATTATTACATTCAATAAAACCAACAAATTAATCTACAAATATTTATAAACTTCTAAACGTATTAATATATATTTCACAATCGAGAGCGATACCAATTCCCATTAAATATATCAAACCCATCTGTTGAATCCTACAGCCCAATTAATATGTTTGGTTTAAATATTTCTAATAATACCAAAATCATCGTGACGCGTATTAATTACACAACACAACTAAACTGTAATTGCCACATACAAAGCTTTACGCTTGCCACTGTTTTGAAATAGCGACAGTTATAAATTTGTTAAAAACTCATAAATTTATTTATGCCAGTTAAAATAATCAGAATTAAAAAACACTTTCGATATTAGTTATATTGAACTTAATTACCGATATTAATTACCTATTGAAAAGTGACCATTTATTTCTACAGGGTGTCCCAGGCTGAAGTTTCTAGACAACTACAAGATCTAGATCGGAGTTTTGCACGCCATTGTATTACAATGAGATCTATCGATTAGAAATATTTTCAATATGGCGGCACTTCCGGAAATACCGGAAGTTGACAACAACTTTCTTATTTTAAATGGGGACCCCCATTTTTTATTACATTCTTAAATTCTCTGTAAAATTTTATGAATTTTGATATCAACACTCTATAACTAACATTAACTGTTTTCGAGAAAAAAATATTTAAAATTTTCGGAGGAAAAAAACTGCCTTTCAAAAAATTTTGTATAGCCTAAAAGCATGATACAAAGAATACAAGGTATGATATTGCGCAGGTTGGTCACTACGTCACAGGTGATAAACGGCACCATTGGTCGGCAAGCTCCGCGCGCCAATTTCAAATTGTCAAACAGTTGACATAATAAATGTGAAAATAATTTTTCAAATGTCAAGGTCGATGATTTGACATAACTTGGGGGTTATGTCTTAATTCTTCCCTATTTTAGGTCTTTTTATATTAGTGGCAATTGAACAACATGGATACTTTTTGTATGGCGTATGACGTCACAGGTGGTATGCGCAAACTTAACAAAATTGGAGCCGCTATCGATCATACCTTGTTTTCTTCGTACCATGGCCTAAAAGTCAAATTTATTGATTACCACAGCTACTGTAACATAGAGATAAAACCTGTAACTATCTATTTCAAAAATTATATTGTTCAAATGTCATATAATAGTGGCGGTAGCTGTCATGGATTTGAGCGATTAAAAAATTATCATAAATCATTTTTTTCAAATAGAAACCCACCTTTTTTATTTCACTAGTGAAAAGGTTTTTCAATTTGTTACTTTTTAATTATACATGTTGCTATACCCAAAATAAATCGTTTTTAAGTTATATAAGATTAAGTTTGAATATCTTGATTTTATCCAGCTTCCTTTGACATTAAGTGTCAAACAGTCAGACAATTTATTTCCATCTGTCAGAAAACGAATTATTTAAATTTCCTATATTTGTTAATTTATATATTATAAATACCGTATGATCGAGAAAAAACGGCGTCCAGTTGGCTGGGAAATGAAGATCGCTGTCATTTTATATGTAAATTTATATGGGAAATGTCATCGATCGTCATTTCCCAGCCAACTGGACGCCATTTTGTTTCGATCATACGGTACTACCTGCTTAAGAGTTTAAAAAGTAGATTTATAAAAAAAAATATATCTTGTATTGTACTCTCTTAAGTGATATCTAATAGTTGATATTATTAATTATTAATAATATGATATATTATTAATAATAGAAAAAAACAGCGCAAAGTTGACTTGGAAATGATGATCGATAACATACTGCTTTTTGAACAAAGTGTCACAATTGCTGTCCTCCTTTCACGCAGTTGAGCAGCTCTGAACTGTTCAAGAACGCGATACTCTCACTCCATTCAATTGAGTCATAAAGTTCCAGAACTCTTCCGCGCCATATGGAGGCACCAGGCTATCGCCCACCGCTCCTTTCAGAACCGTTCTCGGGTAGCCCCAGGGCGTAAAGCCCGGAACTCGAAGTTCGTGAATGGAGGACAGCAAATATGGCATGACCAGATCTACTGTTTTACATCACTTGAACGCTTTAAAACTATATCTTAAATAACTTAAAAACGATTTATTTTAGGTATAGGAACATGTATAGTTAAAAAGTAACGAATTGAAAAGCATTTTCACTAGTGAAATAAAAAAGTGGGTTTCCACTTGAAAAAATGATTTATGATAATTTTTTAATCGCTCAATTTCATGACAGCTGCGGCCATTATTATATGACATTCGAACAATTAATTTTTGAAATAGATAACCACATGTCTTCTCTTTATGGCACAGTGACTGTGGTAATCACTGAATTTGACGTTTAGACTATACATACATATATTTTTGACAGACAGTTTTTTTCGTCCAAAAATTTTAAATATTTTTTTTCTCAAAAACAATTAATGTTGGAATAGACTGTTTAATAACAAAAGTCATAAAATTTTACAGAGAATTTAAATATGTAATAAAAAATGGGGCTACCCATTTAAGATAAGAAAGTTGCTGTCAACTTCCGGTATTTCCGGAAGTGCCGCCATATTGTAGAATATTTTTAATCGATAGATTTTATTGTAAAACAATGATGTGCAAAAAATCTCCGATCTAGATATTGTAGTTCTCTAGAAACTTCTAATGCACGCTCAGCCTGGGACACCCTGTACATATTTGATTTAAACCTCAACGCCAGTATTTTAATATTAGTTATTTATACGTTAATATAATATGATCGAAAAAAAAAACGGCGTCAACGATGACTATGAAATGAAGATCGCTGTCATTTTATATGTAAAATTATATGAGGAATGTCATCGATCGTTATTTCCAATCCAATTGGACGCCGTTTTTTAGATCATACGGTATTATTCTTTATTAGCTAAAAACAGGGATATACAGGATATCCTGATATTAAACTCTATCAAACTTTACGGAGAATTTAAATATATATTCATTATAAAATATATTGATCTTAGAAGTAGCAAAATCTAGATATTGTAGATTCCTAAATGTTTTGCAGCCTTCGTGCAATGTGTTTTTTAGGAATATGTTATAAATAATAAAATTTACTTCATTTATTTGATTCTTATAATAAAACGTCTTTCATAGCCAGTTAAGTTATGAATTAATTATGTATTTTATTTGCAGACTGCATCGCCAGAGCACAAGTGTGAGTAGAACCAGTGGCAGTAGAAATAGCAGAATGAATGGTTCAGTTAATGGCAGCAGAAAGTTCGGAAAAACCCCTAGTCCTGGTAAATAACCCCACACATGCATTCCTAATCAGCAAGATACATGCATTCATAATCAGCAAAGTACAATACTCAGTGCTTCGAAAAAATTAAATTGTTACTGCCCAAGTAGCATTCGGACGTCGGGACAACGTTGTGTCATGCGACCAAACGTCGGAGCGCAACGTCGGCACAACCTCGTGCCAACCCTAGTCTGCACTAGTTTAGAGAATAATTTTTGGGTCGAAACGACGTTGGATACCGACGTTGGCTAGAAGCCTAATTTAGTACAAACTGCAACGTTGTTTAAAATCCTACTTCACAGAAATACAAAACTAATATGGCGTCTAAGTCGCGTTTTATCCTAAATTGGGATAATTATAGTAAAAATATTATTTTTATAATTTAGTTAGAGACATATGTCAGATGGCAGTGAAGGAAAACAAAACAAAAGTATTTAAGTGTGGAGGATGTTTGAAGATCATAATTATTGAAACACTTTAACTAAGGCAAAAAAGTTAAACGCAAACAACTTTATTGATAAATGTATTGTTTCTACTTTGAAAAATACCAATGGGCCTTAAAATTAAAGAAGTTTTAAAAATTTTCTTGAATTTTTTTTTTTAGTAAAATTAGAATAATTTATTCGCAGTCGAAAAAATTGTTTCCGCGTGTTTTTTAGGGTCAAATATTTCAAGGTAATGTATTCAAAAAGCAGGAATCGCTATTTTAGGAACGAAACATTTTCTTATTTAACAACATGGCGGCTTTCACTTTGTTGTTTTGGAGATTAAAATGGAGTAGTTCGAGTAGTCGCATACTGGACTAATAAAGTCGCAGTTCGGCCTTAACAGGTAGTATACTAGTCGCAAGATTGCCTAATTTAGTCATCCTAGAGTCTAGCTTGTGCCGCCCTCTATAATCTAAATAAACGAGGGAGTGGATAAACTGTCGGTAATATATGTCGATGTATATTTAAATTTAGGTCCTGAAACTGACGTCGGAAAACTCTATATTGTCCAACGTTGTAACTACGTTGTCCGAATCACCTAAAGATCACTTCAGCAAAAAGGTTACAAGACAACGTTTATTCGACGTCGCAGAAACTTCTACTTTGCTGTAGTACTAGTCCAACGTAGGCACAACGTTATAAAAACGTTTAAATTTATTTTAATACCCAAGGTCGGGAGCTAACTATTTTTTGTAACTAATCCAACGTTGTGTTTAGTAAACATGTGGTCGCAAGTCGTGAAAATGCTACTTGGGTGTCTAGTATAAAAATGTTATTTTGTAATTTTTGCAACTACTAGGATTTTTTTTTCGTTGGCACTTATTCAAAATTCCTAATTCACAGAAATACAAAACTAATATGGCGTCTAAGTCGCGTTTTATCCTAAATTGGGATAATTATAGTAAAAATATTATTTTTATGATTTAGTTAGAGACATATGTCAGATGGCAGTGAAGGAAAACGAAACAAAAGTATTTAAGTGTGGAGGATGTTTGAAGATCATAATTATTGAAACACTTTAACCAAGGCAAAAAAGTTAAACGCAAACAACTTTATTGATAAATGTATTGTTTCTACTTTGAAAAATACTAATGGGCCTTAAAATTAAAGAAGTTTTTAAAATTTTCTTGAATTTTTTTTTAGTAAAATGAGAATAATTTATTCGCAGTCGAAAAAATTGTTTCCGCGTGTTTTTTAGGGTCAAATATTTCAAGGTAATGTATTCAAAAAGCAGGAATCGCTATTTTAGGAACGAAACATTTTCTTATTTAACAACATGGCGGCTTTCACTTTGTTGTTTTGGAGATTAAAATGGAGTAGTTCGAGTAGTCGCATACTGGACTAATAAAGTCGCAGTTCGGCCTTAACAGGTAGTATACTAGTCGCAAGATTGTTTAATTTAGTCATCCTAGAGTCTAGCTTGTGCCGCCCTCTATAATCTAAATAAACGAGGGAGTGGATAAACTATCGGTAATATATGTCGATGTATATTTAAATTTAGGTCCTGAAACTGACGTCGGAAAACTCTATATTGTCCAACGTTGTAACTACGTTGTCCGAATCACCTTGTCCGAATCACCTAAAGATCACTTCAGCAAAAAAAGGTTACAAGACAACGTTTATTCGACGTCGCAGAAACTTCTACTTTGCTGTAGTACTAGTCCAACGTAGGCACAACGTTATAAAAACGTTTAAATTTATTTTAATACCCAAGGTCTGGAGCTAACTATTTTTTGTAACTAATCCAACGTTGTGTTTAGTAAACATGTGGTCGCAAGTCGTGAAAATGCTACTTGGGTGTCTAGTATAAAAATGTTATTTTGTAATTTTTGCAACTACTAGGATTTTTTTTCGTTGGCACTTATTCAAAATTCCTAATTCACAGAAATACAAAACTAATATGGCGTCTAAGTCGCGTTTTATCCTAAATTGGGATAATTATAGTAAAAATATTATTTTATGATTTAGTTAGAGACATATGTCAGATGGCAGTGAAGGAAAACAAAACAAAAGTATTTAAGTGTGGAGGATGTTTGAAGATCATAATTATTGAAACACTTTAACCAAGGCAAAAAAGTTAAACGCAAACAACTTTATTGATAAATGTATTGTTTCTACTTTGAAAAATACTAATGGGCCTTAAAATTAAAGAAGTTTTAAAAATTTTTCTTGAATTTTTTTAGTAAAATGAGAATAATTTATTCGCAGTCGAAAAAATTGTTTCCGCGTGTTTTTTAGGGTCAAATATTTCAAGGTAATGTATTCAAAAAGCAGGAATCGCTATTTTAGGAACGAAACATTTTCTTATTTAACAACATGGCGGCTTTCACTTTGTTGTTTTGAAGATTAAAATGGAGTAGTTCGAGTAGTCGCATACTGGACTAATAAAGTCGCAGTTCGGCCTTAACAGGTAGTATACTAGTCGCAAGATTGCCTAATTTAGTCATCCTAGAGTCTAGCTTGTGCCGCCCTCTATAATCTAAATAAACGAGGGAGTGGATAAACTATCGGTAATATATGTCGATGTATATTTAAATTTAGGTCCTGAAACTGACGTCGGAAAACTCTATATTGTCCAACGTTGTAACTACGTTGTCCGAATCACCTAAAGATCACTTCAGCAAAAAAGGTTACAAGACAACGTTTATTCGACGTCGCAGAAACTTCTACTTTGCTGTAGTACTAGTCCAACGTAGGCACAACGTTATAAAAACGTTTAAATTTATTTTAATACCCAAGGTCGGGAGCTAACTATTTTTTGTAACTAATCCAACGTTGTGTTTAGTAAACATGTGGTCGCAAGTCGTGAAAATGCTACTTGGGTGTCTAGTATAAAAATGTTATTTTGTAATTTTGCAACTACTAGATTTTTTTCGTTGGCACTTATTCAAAATTCCTAATTCACAGAAATACAAAACTAATATGGCGTCTAAGTCGCGTTTTATCCTAAATTGGGATAATTATAGTAAAAATATTATTTTTATGATTTAGTTAGAGATATATGTCAGATGGCAGTGGAGGAAAACGAAACAAAAGTATTTAAGTGTGGAGGATGTTTGAAGATCATAATTATTGAAACACTTTAACCGATAAATTATTGAAACACTTTATTGATAAATGTATTGTTTCTACTTTGAAAAATACAAATGGGCCTTAAAATTAAAGAGGTTTCAAAAATTTTCTTGAATTTTTTTTTAGTAAAATGAGAATAATTTATTCACAGTCGAAAAAATTGTTACCGCGTGTTTTTTAGGGTCAAATTTTTCAAGTTAATATATTCAAAAAGCAGGAATTACTATTTTAGGAACGAAACATTTTCTTATTTAACAACATGGCGGCTTTCATTTTGTTGTTTTGGAGATTAAGATGGAGTAGTTCGAGTAGTCGCATACTGGACTAATAAAGTCGCAGTTCGGCCTTAACAGGTAGTATACTAGTCGCAAGATTGCCTAATTTAGTCATCCTAGAGTCTAGCTTGTGCCGCCCTCTATAATCTAAATAAACGAGGGAGTGGATAAACTATCGGTAATATATGTCGATGTATATTTAAATTTAGGTCCTGAAACTGACGTCGGAAAACTCTATATTGTCCAACGTTGTAACTACGTTGTCCGAATCACCTAAAGATCACTTCAGCAAAAAAGGTTACAAGACAACGTTTATTCGTCGTCGCAGAAACTTCTACTTTGCTGTAGTACTAGTCCAACGTAGGCACAACGTTATAAAAACGTTTAAATTTATTTTAATACCCAAGGTCGGGAGCTAACTATTTTTTGTAACTAATCCAACGTTGTGTTTAGAAAACATGTGGTCGCAAGTCGTGAAAATGCTACTTGGGTGTCTAGTATAAAAATGTTATTTTGTAATTTTTGCAACTACTAGGATTTTTTTTTCGTTGGCACTTATTCAAAATTCAAATTCACAGAAATACAAAACTAATATGGCGTCTAAGTCGCGTTTTATCCTAAATTGGGATAATTATAGTAAAAATATTATTTTTATGATTTAGTTAGAGACATATGTCAGATGGCAGTGAAGGAAACGAAACAAAAGTATTTAAGTGTGGAGGATGTTTGAAGATCATAATTATTGAAACACTTTAACCAAGGCAAAAAAGTTAAACGCAAACAACTTTATTGATAAATGTATTGTTTCTACTTTGAAAAATACTAATGGGCCTTAAAATTAAAGGAGTTTTTAAAATTTTCTTGAATTTTTTTTTTAGTAAAATGAGAATAATTTATTCGCAGTCGAAAAAATTGTTTCCGCGTGTTTTTTAGGGTCAAATATTTCAAGGTAATGTATTCAAAAAGCAGGAATCGCTATTTTAGGAACGAAACATTTTCTTATTTAACAACATGGCGGCTTTCACTTTGTTGTTTTGGAGATTAAAATGGAGTAGTTCAGTAGTCGCATACTGGACTAATAAAGTCGCAGTTCGGCCTTAACAGGTAGTATACTAGTCGCAAGATTGTTTAATTTAGTCATCCTAGAGTCTAGCTTGTGCCGCCCT